GGCTCTGGCCACTGCCCAGGGGGTCCCCTCACAGCGGCCCTGCAGGGTGGGCAGAGCTACCCAATGATGTCTGAGGCTGGTGGGGGTGATGGAAGCCGACTGCCTGCTGGGCACTTTCCCACTGTTCCACCAGCACTCCTTAGCCCGTGGCCCCTCTCCAAATGCCCACCCATTGTGTGGTTGATTCCGCGTCACAGTGACCCTGCAGGAACACAGGAGAACGGACTCAAGGGTTTCCAAGGCAGGAAACTTACAGACTGCCTCATCTCTTAGCCTGTGGGGCAGCTAGTGGCTTTGAACAGCTAGACCTTTATCTCATAGCCAGCCCCTGACCGCAGAGGCACTCGGGCTTTTTTTTTAGATGGATAGGTAGAGAGAAAGGGGAGGATTTCTCCCTTGGGGACTCGCCCTCTCGGAAACCCACAGAGGCAGTTCTACGCTGCCCTGCAGAGTCGCTGTGAGCCGGCATGGATTCACTGGCAGGGCGCTGGGTTAGTTGCGACTCTCTGGAGGCTTCTACAGACTGTCCATCTCCCGGGAGCAGGCAGCCTCCTCTCTCCCTCCGCGACTGCTGGGTTTGAACCTCTGACCAAGCCCTGACTCACCGCACCATCTGGGCTCCCACGGCTGTGGGTAGCTTTGACACAAAGTGACCCCACATGAAGGTTTCCAGAGTCTACTCTGTGTGGGAGCAGACAGGCTCGTTTCCTCCTGAAAGCGGCTGGTGGTCCTTGAACGGTGGGTGCATCAATAGCCAAAAGACCCGCCCAAGGCCTTCCGGGTGATTGACCCACAGTGACCCTGCAGGACAGGGCAGGGCAGGGTTGCCCCGTGGGCTATGAAGGCTGTGAGACTTGAAGAAGCACAAGGCCTTGTCTGCCCCCCATAGGGCAGCGATGTGCCAGTGACAGCCCCGTCCTGACCCGCCTGTACCCCCAGGGGGGGAAACACTGAAACACCACGGGCTGGCATTGAGAGACCAGGACTCTCCGTCAAAGCTGCTTAGAGGCACATACAGGCCCCCGGCTCCCAAGTCCCCTCCTGCCCAAGGCCTACTGCCTTCTCGCCGGCTCTTGGCCACCTGGTGCCTGTGGAGGGAAAGGTGGCCTGGGCTGTGGTGACCCACAGGGTTTCATTGGCTGTTTTTCAGCTATAGAGCACAGGGCCTTTCTTCCTCGTCTGTCTCTGTCGGGATGCTTCGCTGACCCTTGTTCTGTGTCTGAGCCACACACCGACCTCTGCTTCCAGCCTGGGTGGCTGCATGGACGTGCCATGGCCGGGACTCAAACCCTGCTCTTCTGCATCCTTACCCCGACCCACCACTATGGCCTGTACTACTGAAAGTTTCACTATTGGGTAAAGTTTTACTGTTGGGTAAACTAATGACACTCTCAATGTGTGCTGGTTACGAGTTGGGCTGCTAACTGCAAGGTCACCAGTTTGAAACTGCCAGCCGGCTCCTTCGGAGAAAGATGAGGCTTTCTACTCCCGTGAAGAGTTATGGTCTCCAAGACTCACGGGCACTTCTGCTCTGTCCTGTGGGGTTGCCGCCAAGAGGCAGCATTGACTGATGGCAGTGGGAGTGATGCCCCAAGGGGATGATGGATGATGTTCTCCAACAGCAGATGGCCCCGATGTCGCTGCACCAGGCCCATGGCTCAAGTTAATACTGTCCAGTCACTTAGGCACACATCCATACAAGTCCGTAATTCATGTACCGCAATCTGGAAAAGCCAGCGTCTATACTTGTAATTGCCACTTCTCAGAGGTATTTTAAATTTGCCACCATTGGTTAAGTGAATGACACTATCAGTAGAGTTACCGTATGCCCCAGGAGGAGATGATTTATCATGCTTTCTATCATAAGATTATAATGATGTCTCTACAGTGAACCAGAGACATAAGTCATAGATCTACGAATGGATTTTGGGCATGCACTTATGTAATTATAGCCCCAATCTAAGAACAATTAGTGTTTATGACATGTCCCTGCTTGGTATTTGCCCTCATGAAGAGATCACTGAAAATATGGGTGCTATAGCAAAGTCTGAAGAAACTAGATGGTGTTCAGTTATTAGAAAGAATAGCATCTGAGGTCTTAAAGACCTGTTATCAAACAAGCAGCTGTCTAAGAGAGGCATCAACTAAGGCCACATGGAAGAAGCACACCAGCCTGTGTGATCCGAGGTTTGTAAATAATAAAATCCAAATGTGAAAGAGGGAATGGTATCAGAGCTTAAATTGTGGACAACTGGTTTGCAGGAGGATATATTTTCAAAGTCCACACATGGATGAAATTTTCAGTGACTCCCCTCTGACCGCAGTTTAAGGATGGGAATCGTTTTGATATGAGATAGAATTGTAGTCGATTAGGTAAAACATGTATTATCTTCCCATTTGATCTCCCCTGTGACCCATCTTAAGGCTGTTCCAGGTTTGTTGGCTGTTTTACGTGAAGGGGAAATACACGCGGAGTAAGCCTCTGGTGAGCCCCTCTGACCACGAACCAGGGATGTGAGCAGTGTGTGACGCTCGCTCACCTGCAGAATGCAATGGAAAGTGGATTGCTGCAGGTGCGGTTACGTGAACCGCACCTTATCCCATTATCTCCTTTATGATCCACTTTAAATTTGCTGTGGTTTTCAGACTTTCTGCTTTCTTTTGATTGAGGTTTTCATCCTTTAATGGTTGCTAGGGTTTTTGAAAACGTGCTTTTCTGGATGTGAAATCCAGGATAGGTCAATCTATGGAGACGGTAAGTGGATTAATGGGTCCTTAGGGGTATGCCAGGGGAAGCTGGGGGTGGGAGTGGGGAGCTAATAACAAGGAGTCCAGGAAAGAAGAGTGTTCGGAAACCGATGGTGGCAGCGATGGTGCACGCTTGTCGACGTGATCCAACTATTGAATAGCATGAAGGGTGAATTATATACACCAGTATAACTGTTGGGGGGGGAAAACAAACCACACAACCCTGCCTACGAGTTGGGCGGTTAGACTGAAGGTCAGCCATTCAAGTCCTTTGGCCGCTCTGGGGGAGCAAGAGGAGGCTGTCTGCATCCATACAGATTTGCAGCCTTGGAGGACGTGTGGGGTTTGGGGTTCCGGCTTGCGCTTCCAGAGGCCGTCCACCAGGTGGCAATCTTCGCCAGGCTGCCTTGGCCAGGGTCCTGGCTGGTGGAAGGGTCCTGGTGGCTCAGCAGGTTAGTTTCAGGCTGCAGGAAGGCATCTCCCAGGGAGAAAGACCAGGCCATTAGCTCCCAGCCCAGGAAGGCGACCCCACGGCAGAGCATAGTGGCTGGAGTTCACACAGAGGCACTGCAGAAGGAAGGCCTGCCTGGCGATCTTTTGACGAAGTCAGACCCTGCAGATGTTGTGGGCGATGGGTAGCTGGCCACCTGCAGACCACTTGTGATACCTGGGCCTTCACACAGCTCCTGGGAAAATCTTTCTCTTTCAATCCCATTTTCCCACACACTCTGTGAAACTCCCCGGGAAGTGTGGGCTCTCTGTCCCAAGCATGCCTGTGTGTCTCTGTGTCCCTGCCTCTGTCCCATGCATGTGTGTGTCTCTCTGCCTCCCTGGCTCTCTGTCTCATGCACATGTGTCTCTGTGTCCCTGTATCTGTCACATGCATGCCTGTGTCTGTCTCCCTGTAATATGCTGGTGTGTCTGTGTCCTCTATTTTTATCTCTCTGGGACACTCAGGCTCTGGAGGGCAATGAGAAGATGGGGGGGGGCATGAGAAGCTGGTCAGTGAGACCACTCCCCCAGGAGAATTTGGGGAGCAGACTGGGGGGGGCGGTCAAGGTGGGGATGAAGGAGGTAGGAGGTGGGTGGGGGAGAAGAGCCACACTGTAGAACCACTTGGGTGTGTGG